GTTATTCGAAATGATCTGCTTGTGAATCTCAAAAGCATTGAAGTGATGGATTGCGATTTGTGAACACGGCTAATATAAGGAGTATTCATTTTAACGGTAATTTTTTTTTGCCAGTTTATAAATATTGCAAATGCGGATGCCAACTCTTCCATACCAAGGTAGTTGACAGGGCCGTCTTTACATTTATGTAAAAAAGCCACGGAATGAATAGGATATTGAGTCAACTAAAGAGCTTCTTAAAAGGTCTGTTGAGAGGGTTAATAAAGGAGGAAATTTGGGGAGTAATTAAAGAGAGAGGGATGGTGGGCGAGAATTGAGAAAGTGGTTGAGATTGGGAAAGGGTTGCCATGACGGACAGGCGACTATTTCGCCAATATTCTTTTGGCCGTGGCTGCGGCAGATTCTTTCGAACTTCAGCATTTGGCTGTAGCCAAGAATCACATACTCTATTTTACTAAGTTGAAGATAAAACTGGGGGGATCGTGGCGCAAAACGTTCAAGCTCACTGAGCAATTAAGCCAAGAAATTCTCGAATGAATCTTTCAGAATGTGAGAATATATCGCAGAAGACATTTCACTTATTATTTTTGATGCGTGCTTTTCTCACAAACAAGTCAGCCTAATTTCAAATACTAAAGAAGGAATTCAAAATCGAATCATGTCGTTTATTCAAATGAAGGCGAGAGAGAGCTAATGTGAAATGAAGAACGTGACAAAATATTACGACTGCTGTGCTACTGGAAACTTTTGTAATCTATCCTATCTTTGACTTTAATTGATGAAATTATGCACTACCTACGCTAGATGAAGAAGCATTAACGTTGGCAAACCGACAATTCCAAATTCCGCGTTGAAGCTTGATAATGTTATAATAAGATCATCCACCCAGAGAAATAAAATATCTTAACAACATAGAGTTTCGATGCAGGGTTTTGAACTGACTCGTAGGCAATTTTATCACACCTCAACAGAGTCAAACGTAAGAGCAGAATCGGGCTTCCATTAACAAACTGTACTGATATTTATAATTACTTTTAGTAAAATTTGGAAATATTTTCGATCATCCGATTTTTGCACTATCTCTAGAAGGGCATTCATAAAATTAATTTGACTATTAGAGCCCCATCCAGAATGTGATTAACTAATTGCATCCAATTCAAATCATCTGTATAATATCTATTGTAAACATTCTCCTAACCGCAAAAATGAAGTAATGGACTCTAAGTAGACATAATAAATATATAGATATAATAAATAAAATATTGTTATTCATCCACTTTCAAAGGGGAAATGTGTTTCTTCCAAACAGGATATAATGTGAAGGCACATATATAAATAAATTATTAAATTTTGTGGCATATTAATTATTCAGCAAATTAATTACCAAAAAAAAAAATAAATTTGAAATATATAAAAGAATATATGAGACTAATAAGCTCCTGAACGCGTCGTGTACTGAAAAGCTGTGCCGTCTACGGAAATGCGGCACATCTGCGTTATATTCATATTGGCGGCATTACAACTACAAATATATGTGCCGCCATATTATTTTATTGACTTATGACTTAGTCGTACTAGTTGGCAACTTGAACCAAGTGACTCCAAATTTTCGCATTAAAGGCACGGTTACAAATTATGATGAGTTAATCCTAAGAAAAGAACACATATATTCAGAGGAGTCACCGTTTGGTATTAAAAACGTAAGAAAAGATATTCGCTATTGATAAATCAAAACTTTGAAAACAAAAATTAATATTTATTTCTAAACGCAGCCAAAAACTGGGGAAATCCTGACACCGATTATCGAAAATGAAATTCGTTTTATGACAGTTAATACCACCTTCTTCAGTAGCGATCATATCAGTGTGTTTTTGGCAACGAACCGACGTGAACGCGTACCAATGACACAAGGAACCGGTTTTTACGAGTTTCATCTAACCGATCCCAGCATTGCTCATGTGGATTTCGACGTCAAAGAGAGGACACTTGTTATTACACCTTTGCATATTGGACACGTAAGTAATCAGGCTAGATAAATAAGCAATCTGTCGTAAATATACTTTTTCCAACAGACTCGTTTGGAACTGGTGGATCGTTGTTCGACCAATGAACCTGCCTATTTGTCTATTTCAGTCGTTAGTATTGGTGAAATACGTGTACGCGCGCCAGACCGTGTAGAGCGAACCAAATCTATAAAAGCTATTATTCAATTATATGATACTTGCGACAATTTGATACGCATCAATCCTTTTAATATGCAAATGTATGAGTTGTCCCAAGAAATTTTTAGTGCAAACATATTAAGCATCCAGCTGGGAGATCAAAACAATTTAGATGTTGGCGCAATCAGGTTAAAATTATAGACTAACGTTAGTAACTTGTGCTTACATTTTTTCATTGAATTGCTTTCTTAAAAGATATATAATAACAGCGAATAATTTGGGTGAAGCAAAAATTGTATTCAGTGCTGGTAGCGGTGATGTGCTAGTATCCAGCGAACCAATCGACATACAAGTGAGTAGCTGGGTCACATATTAAAAATAAGTTAATGAAGAACTCATTATGAGTTTCATTTCCCAGGTATTTCCTCCATTAAGATTGTATCCACGCAACTCTACTCTGGTAGTTGGTTCAAATATGCAAATATGTTATCAAGGCGGACCACAACCGGATGTAAACATCGTCTACCATGTGCATGACCATAAGGTTATATGTAATTATACAGATTATTTAATGTCTTTGATGTCATAGTTTTGATGAACTTAGCAATGGACTCTGCTCTTGTAACTGCCCATAAATTGGGGGAAATTGGGGATTACTGGTAAATGCATTGTAAGAAATCTCAGCAATGATAAAGATGAGGTAATATCAGAGGATACCCTTGAGACACATGTTGTGTCTTTAGTCAATATACAAATAAACACACCGTTAGTTAGAATACGCAGTGGGGCAATAATGCCCGCGGCTAATTGGTAAGTGCAAAGAAAGATTTAACAAATACTGTTATTTTTTCAAAGATGTGCTTTTGTAAAAGGGATGCCTAATTTGTCACCTATGATATTGGGAGCGCCAAAGCATCGGCCACTGCCTTTTTAACTCGAGGATGGGCCGACATACCCAAATAATCATTAGCACACCATACCGTTATAGGCCTTTC